GGCTTCCCCCCCATCCGCTCTACCTGCTTAGAACTGGGCATCTTGGATGCTGGGTGGGCGCTGCCCCTTGGGGACCCTGAACATGTTCCACCACACCTGGGCAAGCACCTCCTGCCCCTTTTGCCTGGATTTGGGCAGATCTCGGCTCCCCTGCCCCATCCCTGGAGGTGTTCAAGGCCAGGCTGGATGAGGCTTTGAGCAACCTGGTGTAGGGGAAGGTGTCCCTGCCCATGGCAGGGAGTTGGCACTAGATGATCTTTGAGGTCCCTTCCAACCCAAACCATTCTATGATTCTATGAAGAGCTGGGCCATGTTGTGTCGTCCTTGGGCAGCTCCCTCCTCACACTACCCAAGAACATCTCTCTTTTTTTTTTAATTTTCTTTTTTTTTATTTTTTTCCTCCAAGGCTCTTTTCTGTGCCCTTCATTCATCAGATTTTTAAAATGTGGTTTGTTTTTTTTTTTCTTTGGGGAGGGGCGAGTAGGTGTAATGGCAGGTCCATCTTTTTGACAGCCGGAGCGAGCGAGGCTGCCTGTCAGATGGTGAATTTAAACAGAGGCAGCTGTTGTCATGGTGACGCCAAGTTGCATCCTGTTGCTGTGGCAACCAAAGTTAAAAAACTGATGTTAAGGCAGGAAAATCACATGATGTGGTTCTTTTTTGTTTTTTTAAAAAAAAAAAAAGGAGGAGAGGAGAGAGATTTGATTTCCAGTTACAAGTGCAGGGTGAGGCAGGGGAGGAGGAGAGGCTGCTCCACCCTACATCCCTCCGGAATTATGTCTGTCTGGACATCGCTTTCTGGTGACCCCAGTAAAGCACAGGTGGGATGATGGGTGACAGGGTGCCAGGGATGGGGACAACCTGGCAGGGCCATGGCTCTGTGGCTGCTTGAGGGCACTGGATGGCCTCATCTGTTGGGGGAAGGTTCCTCTGTTCTTAGCGATGAGCCAGGGAGGTGCTGTAGGGCTGGGGAAACCCAGAGTTGGATTAGGACCGCTCATGGTCTTTGCTCCATTTGGTGTTTTGGTTTTCTCTTGGAAAACAGCCTTGGAGAGGAGGTGGTTGCTCTCCGGCTGGGGTGTGGAGCTGAAAGGAGAAGGGTCGAGGTGTCCTAGGGATGAGGATATTGAAGAGGTGAGTCTTTGGTCCAGTTGTGCCCTGGGTGGATGGAGTGTGGGAAGGTCTGTGTGGAGTGGGCAGCAGTGGCAGGGTTGGGACCAGCGAAATAGAGTCCTCAGATGTAGGAACTGAAGCTCCTTCTCATCAACACCTGGGGAGCAGGGAAAGCCCCTCAGTGCAGCAGGTCCTGGAGGAAGCCTGCGTCGCAGTGGGAAATGGAGACTTAAGTTTCTAGGAGATGTTGGAGCTGGGCTGAGTGATGCAGGCAGGGGGTTAAATCATTCCTGCCCTTCTTGCTGGCCCTCTGAGGTAGGCTTCCCCAAGAGCCCTTTTGGAGATGCACGTGTGGTCTCGCTCCTCTGGCTCTTCTGCTCCTTCTCCACATGCCTTCCCAGGAGCAGGGAGAAGGCCACGGTCCCCAAAGTGGAGAGATGGAGGGAGGCTCTCCATGGCTCCCAGCCCTTGCCTGCATCTGGGGAGGCATTTATCTTGCATAAAGGAGGTTGCATCAACGTGCCGCCAGCACTGTAAATCCATCTTCAGAGGTTGGAGCTGGGCACACTCCCTGTGTTGACAATATAGATGTTCTGGATAGTCTTGTTTTGGCACCTGCCTGGGAGGAAGGTGAAGAAGAGGGGGTCATAACTGGAAGCAAGACTCCACTGGGGGCTGGACATGTCCCTGCCAGACCCACCAGGGAGCTCCAGGCATGGGGTTACCCTGCAGCGCCCACTCCCAGTGGGCTGGGGCTTGGGTCTGAGAGGTGGTCTGCATGGCCTGAGGGCACCTTCCCCACCTCAAACGCACTGGGAGGGAAGCGTGGAGCTGCAGGTGTGGCGTGCGCTGGGATCCGCCGAGTTGCTAAGGAAACAAGTCAACGGTGCAGGGGAGAGAGCATTGGGTAAAGGAGATAAATCAATAAGAAAACCTATTTTTATCGGCTCCCTAATGATCCTTCAGGAGAAGCCAGACAAAGGAGGAGCAGGAGGCTGGAGGGAGATGGGCTTTCATGACCGGGCTCAGAGGGAGGCGAGTGCTACTCTACGTTTTGGGTGGCTGGAAGGTGGTGTAATTAGATGCCTAACGAGAGCGGATATGAAGGAGTGATAGAGGAGTGATAGAGCATCCTCTGATGGGCTCCAGCCCTGAGCTGGGGGTATGTTTGCTTGGGAGAGGTGGAATGTGTGGATAAAATTTCCCTTGGGGGAGGGTTTTCTTACCCTTGGACTCTCAAAACCTGGCACAGCCGGAGCTGAGGGGGCTCGTTTCGGCAGGGTCAGTGCCTTCCAGCTCTCGCCCAGCTCTGGAGGCAATAACCTAGGCTCAGATCCTGGGAAAAGTGGGCCAGTGGGGTTTGGAGAGGCACTTTTGGGCAGTGACCTCATGCTTAGGTCCACGCTTAGGACAATGATTGCTCTGTTTCCCTTGGCTTTGACACCCGCCAACCCACATGCTGTGGGCTCACTGGAGGCGGAGCGGGGACACGGTCCCGTGAGCTCAGGCCATCGGAATCCGTCCTGAGCCCCCAGCCCCTGGCAGATGGGGCTCCCACCTTCTGGCTTTGGTAAATCTGGGGGTTGTTTCCCCGGTGGGACTGGTGGCCACAGGAGGGAAGTGGCGGCAGGGCAGAGGCTGCCTGGCGTGGTGGGGAGACGCGCGGCATGCTCGGCGGCGGGATGAGCCACGGAGAGGGCGGTGGGACAGACTCCCCGTGCCGTTCTCACGCTTCTCATCTAGGCCAGTGTGCCTGGCACTGGGGGAGCGGGCTGTGCCGCCCCACTGTTGCCCACCTTCCTTCCTCACCTGGGCTAATCGCTCGCTGGCTTTCGGGAAAATGAAACAAAAAGACCCCAAAGAGGCAGGTGGCCGGGGGCCGAGCGTGCTGACTCAAGCATGTGGCTGGGGCTGGGAAGATGGGGGAAGTAATGTGGCTTTTGCAGGAGCTGTGTGATGAAATAAATCCTTGCATGAAGCCTCAGAGGAAAACTTTTGGTGTCCAACCTCTTTCTGAGCACGGGGAACTGCACCCGGCTGGCATCAAGGTCCGATCCCGCGGCAGCGGTCTGTTTTTTGGTTTGTCTTTAACTTAGTGACCATTAATTTCCCTGAGTGGCCTTTTAAATGCCTTGGCTGAATCTTTCCTGGCTCTTCTCCCTGCCGGGCTAAATACATCCCAGCTCCTACAGGCTCTCCTCGCCTGCCTCTCCCGGCCAAGCTCTCCAGAGACCTGCTCCGATGCCCGGCCCCACTCCCACCTTGCGTGCATGGGACCGCTGCCACCGGGGTCGCTTCGTGGTTTCCAGTTCCCCGTGCTCATGGCCAGCACTGAGATGTCTTCTCTTGCCCATGGGCTCAGGGCCGCTGGTTTAAAGCATCTCACTGTAGTCGATGGCTTTGGTGGCCAAAAGCCAAGGTTGTGAACGAGAAGAATCATCCCTTTTCCCTGGGGGCGGTGGCACGGGCGTTTGGCACCTCCTGGCCCGGGTGGTGAGAACCTGAAGCTGCCAGGTCTGGAGAAGGCTGATGTGGTGGGGAAGGGCTGTGCCATGGTGCATCCTTCTGTCACTGAGGACTACAGGGCTTTTATGGCAACGACGCGGTAGAGGTGGAGGGGAAGTTGGAAAGACGAGGCTGTCCTGTCACTTGGAAGTGCTTTGTCTTTGTTTGGGGAGTTTGACTGCAGGCCAAGCAGGAGGCAGCTCCACGCCCTCACCTTGCTCCCGGCAGGCCCTGGGAATCAAAAGACGAGAGGGAGACAGGCTTAGGCTTAGGGTGCTTTCCTGGGCTCTCTCCTCCACCACCCCGCTTGCTCAGGTCCTTGGATGCCAGCACCCGCTGCCAGTTGTCCTGGTGCAGGATTGATCCCAGAGAAGGGTGTGTAAGCCCTAGACATGGCTGTAGGGTTTAGAATGCTCGTAAGGGTCGAACCAGATCTTGTTGATAAGGTGCCGCTACCCCTTGGGGTCTTACTGAAGCGTGGCTGGGCTGGGGCGCCTTCCATTCAGCCCTGCCTGAACTGGAGCATGGACTCAGGAGTCATCAGTGTCTTGAGCTGCGAGCGCTCAGCCTGGTGCTCCATAGCACCCAGCGCTGCTTGGGCTCACCCTGTCACCCGCCGCGTGCTTGGCAAGGGACCTGGGTTCCCTGGGCACATCCACCTTGCCAAACACGGGACATAGGGTCCGGTCATCCAGGTCAGATCCCCAGGACCTCCCAGGGATGCCCCGTCCTCCTTGAGCCATGCAGATGGTCCCTCCCACAGGGATGGTTAAGGACCAGGACTGCTGGTAGCCCATGACACCCCCCTCCGAGCTCCATCTTCTGCTGCTTCGTGATGGAAGAGAGAAGGCAAGCAGCAAGGCCATGGTGTGCGGGGACATGCCAACCCTGGCCACCAGCATGCCACACCAGAGAGAGCCTCCCGGACACTGCCAGAGACCGTGCCAAAGCCTTTTCCAGACAAAGCTAGCCTGTTCAGAGCCTGGTTGTTCACATTCATACTTGTGTCTGTCTTCTGGGCTCCCACCACCAGCAGCATCTCTCTCCCAAGAGACCTGACAGCCCAGAAAAGGCTGTTGGTTAGTGTCCCGTGACCCCAGGAATGTGGTGATGAGGCTCAGCAGGTCTCCATTGAGGAAGGTCCTGGGGGCTCTCAGTTCTCTTGCAAACCCTCTCATTTCCAAACAGCACCAAGGTGGGCTTCACCCTCCTGCCCAGGAGCAGCAGGGAGGTGAAAGCTGAGCTGCATGTGTGCACATTCCTGTGGGGAAAGTGGTGGTGGCCGCTAACAAGGAGGTGAAACGAAGGATATGCAGGGGCAGGCTGGTGGGTCAGGGACAAACATCTGCCTCTTCTCTGCTCCTTAACTCCCCTTCACTCCCTTTGAGTACATGATCCTGGCGACCATCATTGCCAACTGCATTGTGCTGGCCCTTGAGCAGCACCTCCCTGAGGACGACAAGACGCCCATGTCACGGAGATTAGTAAGTACCTCGTGTCTGTCTGTCTCTACCTTGCATCGAGGGGGATCTGGTGGGTGAGCAGGGCATCAGCTGAGGGGACCCACTCCATCCTACCAGCCAATTTCTGCTGGTTTCAGGGTGGTAGGGCAGGAGGTTTCCTTGGGAACCAGTCCCTCCAGCCTTCCCAGGGCTGCTGTCATATACTCCTCCCCCATGGAAAGGGTTGAGGAAGGTTTAAGCCTCTTAAAAAGTGGGGTAGGGAAGGAGGACTGGGTAACTTGAGAGGGTCATAGCCCCTACTTTAGGTTTCCAAGGTTGATGCTGGCTGAGGAAGGGCTGGGAAAGCTCCCAAAGGGAAGGACGGGGCTGGGGAAGATGGGACGGGACGTGAGTTTAGTCAGTGTGGAAGGACTAGTGTTGTGTTTGCCCCATCTCTGTCTCTTCCGCCTCATTGTGTCACTGATTCCCTTCCGGCAGGAAAAGACAGAGCCCTACTTCATTGGGATTTTCTGCTTCGAGGCTGGGATTAAGATCGTGGCTCTGGGGTTTGTTTTCCACAAGGGCTCTTACCTGCGTAACGGCTGGAACGTCATGGACTTCATCGTGGTCCTCAGCGGGTGAGTCAGGCGGTGCGAGGCTGTTGGTGGGGTTGGGCAGCCGGGGCTTGTCCTGGTGGGGACATGAGTTCCAGGGCATGGGGCAAGGCCCTGGTTTGCTGTTATCAGTGGTGTTTTTTCATCTCAAAGAGGGAGGGGATGACGGTTCCCTGTGCTGGAGGCTCCTGTGTTGGGCAGCTGACGGTGGGATGGAGTTCCCTGTTGGGTGAGGAGAGCTGGCTGTGAGGGCATCATGTCTAGCTTTTCTCAGCTGGTGGCCTGGTGTCTGCCACCCATTTGGGTGTGGGGATGAGTTGGGAGTATGGCCTGATGAGCAACTGGATGTGGTTTGGGAGAGGTCTTGATCAAAGCCCCCATGGGGAGGGAGAGAATCTCTTCTCCTTTCACCTTCTCAAGCACTTTCCAGCCTTGGCCCAGTGCTGGGAGTTTGGGAACAAGGTCTGGGTGGGGCTGAGTTCCCAGGTGATGCTCACTCAGCATCCCAGCACGCAGCAGTGATGCTGGGGGTGGTAGCGCACAGAGCTTTGCAGGTGCTGGTTGTGTCACTGATGGTGTCACCTGCTGGGGATGCGGCCCAGATTTGAGTCCTGCTTGTGGTGCGATGGGCTGTGCTGGTGACACAGGGACAAACAGGGGCATTTGGGATTGTGCTAGCTTGCAGTGACAATTGGCTTGAGCATAAACCCTGAGGGTGAACCCCCAGCCCGTCGCAGCCACTGAAGTGCCCTTGGGAAGGGGTGCCCGGATCATGGCTGTTGCTTTTTGCATGCTGATGGAAACACTGCGTTCAAAGGAGCTGGTTTGATGCGTATGAACAGGTGGTCTCTGTGTTCATTAGCTCTGCTGGCTGGGAAACTGAGGCACGGGAGCCTGGCGAGATACTGGGGGTCTCTGCTGAGTTGCTTGCTGCACAGTCCTGTCCCTTGGCTTGCAGTCTTCTCCTGGCTGGTGGCACCACGTAGAACACAACATCCATGTGGGTGTTTGGAGGAGGAAGACGATGCTGAGCCTGGTGCTGCCAGGGCCATGATGATGGGCGCTGCTCATCCATGGTGGAGAGGTGCGAGTTGGGAATGTGCTCGAGAGAAGGCTTGAAAAGAACGTGGCCAGGAACCTTTTGACTCCCTTGGTCCGACGTGGACCTGGACGGCCACAGTCTGAGTGTGCTGGTGACGGGGTGATGCTTCTCAGTGGGCAGTGGATGGGCTGCCTGCAAGCGGTGCAGCCATGGCACAGGGTGCTGTCACCTCTTTGGCATCTGTAAAGTGACTCCCCCAGGGGAGGGCTTCATGGCTGGGCGGGCTTGCCACTGCTGGGAAAGCGGCCGGGCAAAGGAGGCCACATCCTGGTCGTGTCTCTGGGCACAGCATGGAACATGCGTCACCTCTGGTAGTGACAAGAGGGGGGGTGTCTCAGCCTTGTTGTGCAGCAGCAGTGCAGGGCTGAGCACCAGTGGCTGGGAAAATGCCCATTGGCTGCCTCCTGGCCCGGGCATCCTTTGGGTCCTGGGCCAAGGGGAAATATGGGGCTGGGCGGGGGGTTCACCATGGACCTCTCCCTGCTCTCCCCGTGGCTCCAGGTGAGCTGACTGTAACTGAGCCGGTGCTGAGTCAGCACTGGGCACTCACTCACTGGTGAAAGCCTTGCCAGCTCCTTTCAGTGCCACGCAGGGCCCCGTGCCAGGGAATCGATTGTCCGTGAAGGGCTGTCGGCATCACGCCGGCTGCCATGCCGGGAGGTGCCGGGGTCCCCCTAACACCAGCACCTCCAGGGTCTGCTTCGCCACCATCAGCCTCCTCGCATCCTGATGTTTGCTCCAGCGGGATGAAAACCTCTCCCAAGAAACGCCGAGATACCCGCTGGCTATGCTCTGGCCGTGCTGGTGCCTGCTGGCATGGTCTCCCCAAGTTTTTGGGCTGAATTCTGTTGTATGGTGAGTGGAGGAGACAAACCACAGATTTTTATCCTGGACAAGTTTTGAGGAGGATCAGGTCACTGGGGGATCAGCTGGACCAAGCCATGGGTGATTCAGTGCTGTTCCACTCCTGCTTGCGCCGTGCGATGCCGACGAAGCCGCAGTTCTTCAGCGCCGTGGTCACCCCTCCCTCCCGAGGAACGCTGGCCTGTGCGAGCTGCCAGATTATTGGAAAATTCGTTCAGCAAATAATCCTGGGCTGGCAAGTGACTTGCAAACAGCTTGCGGGAGAGGGTTTGCTCTTGGTGGTTCACGCTCTGTCGGTTGCGTCAGGCGAGCGGTGAAGCCTGCATGGGGGAACGTGCGCTGGCAGCCGGCGGGTTCAGGATCATCTTTGCAGACTAAAACTTTATGCTTGATTAATATGTGAGTGCCTGGACAGAAACCGTCGAGCTCGGGAGAATTAATGGTCATTGGGATCTCGTCACGACTTGGCAAGAGGCGGTGGCTGCGGTGGAGGGGATGCTGTGAGCTTCGAGGATGGAGGGTAGCGCTCGCCATGGGATGTGCTGACCGGTTTGAGATGCTGGATCCATGAGGATGGACCAGAGAGGATATCCATGTGATCAGGACCCACCCCAGGATCCATTCCTGATAGACCTAGAGGGACCCGGCATCACTCGCTGGCCCTTGTCCCTCCCAGGGTGACACAGGGTACGACTCTTCCTTTCTGGACTTATTTTTTTGCCACGTGTCCTATAGGAGAGGTGCTTAATGCAGGTGGCATCACGGTGTTGGGGTTTCCATGAGCCGTGGGATTTCCTGGACATGCTCTCCCTGGTATTAATTAGCCTAACGAGGGGCTGCTGCTGTGAACAGTCTCCTGGGACCCTGTGCAGGAATGGATGGTACTGACTTGGGTTCAACTGGTGTTTGCTTCTTATGTCAATAAATCCAGATTTTTTCATCTCAGTGGAAATCAACGCCCACCTAAAACTCCCTGATGCTAAAGCTTCCACTGGGGAACTAATAGTCACATTTGTAAAGCCGCTCTGTTTATAACCTGTGGTTTCCAAATCATCATCGCTGCCTGAAAAAAACAGCCTGTTCTCCCCCAGCTAAAAATATTTTTCTCCGAAAATGTGCATAAAATACCTTCATTCCGAGGCAGAACCAGGGAGGGGAATGTCCGTGTTTCCCCTGGGGCTTGGGGGATGCTCGCCTGGCCCATGCACGAACCAGATGTGGCCGGGTGCTGAAGCTGGGCTCATGACCTGCTCGATCCAGCGTGTCCTGGACCAAAAAGTGCTCAGAAACAGGTCAGGAAGGACAGTGGAACCTTGGTGACCTCTTAATCGGTTGTCCCAAGAAGAAGTTGAAGGACCTTCAGCCATTGGCAACTGGAGCATCAGCTCCGTGCTCCCTGGGTGCCGTTAGCATAACAAATAGCGAACCATGTGCCAGCCTGTCTTGTCCTACACGATATTCAAAGGAGCTCATGGAAAAAGAAGGGTTAAATTCCCTCTGCAAAGATCCAGGTGGGTGTGTTGCTTCGCACACTCCGATGCCTTGAGCATCACAGCACCGCGCTGGCTGCTTTTTTTTTTATAGCAGTTGCAGCAGTAACACAATAACACGTTACGTGAGAGGTGAAGGGGTGGGCAAACACTTCTGACAACGGCGAAAACATCAAAATGGAAATCAAAAAGCCCTTGTAAAGCTGTGCTGCTGGGGAGCTGGGGAAGCAGCTGCCATAAAACCAGGATAAATACAGCGGGGTCACTAAGTGGAAGAGCCGGCGTCAGGGTTTTTCGGAGGCTTTAATAACAGCCGCTACACCTGGATGCTTCTCCTGAAGCCCTTGGGCGCTGCGGTTTCCGTTAAGGGATTGTACGGAGTGGAGCATGGCCAAGGGAAGGCAGGAATGAGTGATCACCAGCAGCACCCGCCGTGCCCTGAGCTAATCCAGGGCCAACCGGAGGGCCACTGGCCCGTGCGGGAAAGTCCAAAATCCAAAGTCTTCTCCCTGCAAAGGCAAGAGGCAGCTGTGAGCCCCTGACCTCCCGGTGAAGTCCCGTGCGCAGCCGTGTCCTGATTGTTGGCTGTTCGTAGGAGGCTGCTCCCTTCTTTGCTGCGGGGTTGCCTCGGGACAAGGAGGGCACGTTGTTGCTCGTTGTGGTGCTGCCTGGATTTTGGGATAACTGTCCTGGAAAGCGCCCGGTGCCCTTTTTGCCATTCCCCTGGGCTTCCCCAGGGCAGAGATGAGGACGCTTTGCCCCCTGGTATTTAGCTTAGCTCACCTGACCCAAGCTCACCCTTTTGGTCTTAGAGGTCCAGAGATGGAGATGGGGGGCGGTCCTGGAACGGGTGCTGGCAGAAGCTCCTTGCAGGAATATTGACATCATTTCCCCTTGTGGTTTGGAGTGCACACCCGTGCCAGGAGCAGGCTCTTGCCCCAGTGCTGACACCTGCGTTTCCCTGATGGAGGGAGGACGGTGCACCTCCAGGCAAGGGAGTTTGGGATACAGGGCTTGGAGAGCAAGCATTAAATTGGAGCAGACCTCAGCATCCCAACAGGATTATTCTGCTGGAGCTTGTACTGTTGCAAGGGGTGTTGGCCTATAGGGTGAACCAGTAGAGACAACTCTGAGCCCCAGGGCAGAGCAATGCTTTTATCACACCAGATAAGACCTTTTTCCCCCTCTTCCCTTCTTTTCCTTTCATGAAAGGTGCCTGTTTCCAACCCAATGTCTGCCTCATCTCCCACCTCCTTCCCAGCTCTTTCCTTCCAGGACAATTAGTAAAGTGTTTGGTCTTTCGTTTGGATGAATAATTAATTCCCCGGCTTTGTGAATGATTCATGTGCCATATGCCACGGTGACGGGATGCACCCGACATCGGCACCTCATACAAAGGGCAGTGCCATTTCCCTGACCTGGCGAGAGGACGGGGCAGGTGATGAGGGGAAAAAGCCTTCACCCTGCTGGGGACAGGTGGTGGGGTGACACCAGGACACCCTCGGGCAGGCAGACCCCTGGCTTTGGGGGGAGACAGGCATCCTGCCTTCCCCCCAGTGTAGGATCCGGCTGGCATGCTGCTCACGTGGTTCACCCCGTCCTTCCCAGCTTCTCTTCCCCAGCAGTTGGTTTCCCGCAGTGGAGTGAGTCAATCCCACCCACATGGCTCCTGGTCCCAGGGGCCATTGCCACCACCTGCCCCAGGCACCCATCCACCCGGGGGGCTCCTTCCGCAGCCCCCACACCGTTGCTCTGCATCGCTGGGTGCAGAGCTCCGGGGCTGGGGCAAAGCCTTCGTCCAACCATGGACGGCGTGTGTGGTGTTTCTTTGCAAGGTCGGGCTCCTGGCAACGCCTTGAGGTTTCCACCAGGT